CCCGGAATCCACTAGGCTGAAATTTTACGGTAATGACTCTCTGCTCACGCTAGGCCTATTCAAATTCAGCGATCCCGTGCTCTCGGGTATTACCTATGACCTCGTGAAAATTGTGCGGATAAATTATCATCTTGGGAACCGCGGAATCTAAGAAGCTGAAATTTTAGGGTAAAGACCTTTTGCCCACGCTCGACCTTGCACATTCAAATTTAGCGTTCCCACGCTCGCGGATACTACAGATGGCCCATGAAAGTTTTGGCGGGTAAATTATTATCTCGGGAACCACAGAAGTTAGGAAGCTGAAATTTTACGAGTATGCTCCTTATCCGCACGTGACCTAGAAAATTTAAATTCAGCCTTTCCGCACTCTTGGGTATCATCTACGCCTCGTGAAAATTTTTGCAGGTAAATTACTATCTCCGGAACTACGAATCTAGGAAGCTGAAATTTTACAGTAATGGCCCTCTGCCCACGTACGACCTCGCAAACTCAAATTCAGCGTTCCTATGCTCTCGAGTATTAACTACGGCTCCATGAAAATTATGGCGAGGAAACTATTGTCTCAGAAATCATATAATCCAGGAAGCTGAAATTTTACGGTAATCTCTTCTGTCCACGTACAGTTCTGCAATTTTAAATCCATTTTCTCGCGCCTCCGACTATCATTTACGGCCCCGTGAAAGTTTCGGTGGAGAAAATTATTATTTCGGGAACTGCGGAAGTTGGGAATCTGAAATTTTAGGGTGATCTCCTCTACAAACGTACGACTTCGAAAGTTTGGATTCAGTCTTCTCGTACCCCTGAGTACCACATGCTGTCCCGTGGAAGTTTTGACGGAGGAATTATTATTTTGTGTGCGCGGAATTTTTAGTGGAAAATTCCGCAACTTAAGAATCAGACAACATTTCAATTATTTTTACACAGACCAATGTGCAAAGCAGTGAAAATCTTCAGCAGACAATCGTTCGGTGCACGGAATTATACAAAACGCATGATCGCACCGGCTTCTCCCCGTGCGCGCCGCTATTTATTTGCTTTTGCTTCCTTCAGCTTGCACTCATAAATTACGACTTTCTGCTTTCACTTCTTCCAGTCTTTCTTTCATAATTTCAGGCTTTGTTTAATTTAGTTTTCTTTGCAATGCTATGTTGTCCCTCCCTCTTTATTACCGTCCCCAGTTCTTGCCTCGAACTTCTGACTAATACCCTTGTTCCCCTTCTCCATTCTACCTCCGTGACGGCATCCGAGTACGCATCACCCCCCCATCCCCGGCCACTGTCACCATCAATCGTCTCATACTCTTCACTAGCCTCCTTGTTCTTCTCTATTTTGCCTTAACCCGTCCCCCTCCCCCCTCTCCTCTCCCTCCTCGAAGTCGCATTTGGGCACTCACACACCACCACCCCCTCCCTTCCCGCCGCCTCTGCCCACCTGACCACTGCACCCTCCCGACCCAGCCCCCAGCTACGCGTTTTAGCAATTGGTGTACTAGGTAGCACTACCCAGGGCGACTGGCAAAGTGCCAAGCGGCGTCGACAAATGGAGCCGCAAAATAGTGTGTTGTAGAGAAGCTAGAGCTCGTAGGTCGTGTATGACGCCGACCGGGTCAAGCCGAGAATTCTAGTAGTTGTTGCGGTTTCGATGCGACTGTGGTTGCGTTGCGGTGGAGTATTGTTGGCGTTGCGCAACAACATCGGCCAACAGTAAGACTCCACCGCAACGCAACCGCAATCGCTTCGACTAGCTGTGCTCCTGCGCAGGTGCAGCAGTGTTGCGTGTGCTCCTGGACAAGCACCAGTGGTAGCGGCAGTGTGGTGTGTTGAGCTCCGACTGGTTCAGCGTTGGAGAAGGGGGCATTTTCGGGATTTCCGAGACTGGTGTGGTGGCACATCGACAAGTTTCTTGGGGGCAGTCACGCTAAACGATATTGAGAAGCATGGAAGAGAGAGGGGTGCTCGATAGCCTCCGGAAAAACGACAAATCAGAAGTTTTGCCCCTGGTATCTTCTTCTTTGAAGGGGAAACCGAAGATCGAAATCTATGTGGACAATTCGCCGGATGCCCTGGAAAAAGAACGGGCGCTTTTGGCGCAAGATTTCTTGAGCCAGCAAAAAGTGGAGACAGCGATATCGTTTCTGTACAAGGTGTTGCCCAATCTAATGCAGGGTACGCTTGCGACAAGCTGGGAATCGTACGGGATTGTGATCGGGAAGCGAGGGGACAGAATCAGCCCGCTGGATCTCGTTGAATGGATTGTAAAGGACCCCCCAGCTGGTCCCGATAAGAGCGAAGAAATACACACACCGAGCAAAATGCCCAGTGATTTGGCCATCGTCGCGAAATGCTTAATGGTATATCGTATCGGAAGTGTGCCAGCTGCTCATTTCGAATATGTCGAGAAGCTGACGGACAGAATGGCGGTTCTGTATTCGCAACAACCGTTCGAGCTTGAGGACTCCTGTTTGTCGCAGGGACTCCTGTTT